AGATCAAGGAAGCACATGTAATTTTTAAAGGCCAATTTGATTAGTCAAATTTGATTACCACCAGTAGTTATGATAATAGAATGAGAAATAAAATTTGATTGGTCAGTTCATTGGATTAACTACGACTGAAAACCATGGCATATTTCAGATTTTCTATTTCAATTCTAATTGCTAATGTTTTTGGTTGAATGTTTAACCATGTAATACTGATGTCTTTGTCAATTTTGTAAGCATATGAAAATATACACTTACACTGGAAAAGTGATGCGGCCTCTCCATTTAGCAAGCTGAGCTCTGCCAAAGCAGAGCATTGTGTTTCATCGACTTGATTTGGATTTTGGGTTTTTGGTATAATCTTTTTCTTGGGTCTTAATTGCTGACAAAATTTTGTGGTGGATACGAAAGGTGATTAATTGTTTCCTGCATAACTTACTTATGCCGTGACATCTCCTTATTATCTGGAATAATATGTTTTGGTTTCTTGTTTCGGTGGCATCGGAAGGTTTTCGTACTAGCATAACCAACTGATTATTCAGAACCCAATTTTGAATGCAACCTAAATATTAGAAAAAGGCGTAACAACTCAAATATTGTTTGACATATTTGCAGGAGACAAAATTGGTTCCTTTTGATTGTCTCAAAACTATTGTTGGTATATTGTGCCCATATATATGTGATTGTGATAACATATATTAAGGTTGCCTTACAGGGAAGCATATGCTAAGTTTTGGGCATATCTACTATATACATGCCTTTCAATGAATTTTAATATAATTCCTATACATGAAAGCCAGTCAAGACATATTTTGTCAACATTTGTTAAGCAAATGACGTGTATAGTGTTACTTGTATGGCTAATTTGGTTCAAGCATGTGTGATGACGACATATTTTTAATATTGTCGTGGGTTTTGGACTATACTATATTGTACTTTTTTGGGTTTTTCACCAATTTCTCACAGAATGTGAATAAAACATATTGTGCTAAAACTGATTACGATGGGCTAGGCCTATTATAGTAATCTTAACTCCATAAGGAATTTGCATGACTAATCGATTTGCTTTTGTCTACAATTTTGTTTTCCTATCTCAGTGGTCATTTAATCATACATGACTAGTTAACCATAAAAATTGATGAATAATATGTTGGTTGACTGAGAATGACAAAAAGCATCTAGTGGCAAAAACAAGAACATTGTACAAATGAATAAGGTTTGTAGTAATTATGTGACAATTTTCATTTGTATTTTATTTATTCTTATATGAGAATTATAGTTGGTCATGTGTGTGGAGCTTAAAATAATCCCAAAATTCTAGAGGTGACATGTGGATTTTTGCTCAAGAAAGACAATATTTCCCTCAATAAATGAGCATGATTCTCAAATGCTCCCACGCACAGCTCACACCCCTGAAGGTCCCAGCAATTGAATACGACTGCCCACAGCTCACCTTCCCTTGGCAAGGAAAAGTCAAAGCATTAAAGATAAGGATTAATTACCCAAATCTTATCTTTAATACATTCCCAATTGAAGATTGACTCCAATCAAGTAAGTAATCCCAATTTAAATCAAATAGGGATAATTATTCCATTATCTCAAGATATTATTTCCCATTTAATATCTTGAGAATATTTCTCCATAAACCTTACCCAATATAATGCCGCCACGTGTAGGGTAAAACCCTAACAATATGGTCGGCCCTATCCCTATAAATACCCCATATTCTACCAAAGTTCAAAAACTTTTGCTACCCCTAAAAAGCCCTAAAGACTCTATTCTCTCAGAGAAACTGACTTAGGCATCATAGATCCATTGGCCTAACCCCCCCCTCCCCCACCTAGTGGGCGCGTGAGGCTTAGGTCTTTGATCAAATGTGTTGATTGTTTTGCAGGTGCATTTTCATCAAGACTGAAGACGGCGAAAATTTGCATCGACAATGTGATTATATATATGTTTATAAAGAAGTGGTGAACATATGAAGACATTGTTGGCATGAGTCAACAATAATACAATAGGAATGAATTGTGTTTCCTAGTTTGGGAATAACTCTCCTTTTATGTCTTTAATATTACTTGTAGTACAAGGATTGAGGATGTATATATATGTGTTGCTTCCCATGAGAGAAGAATAGAGAAGAATATTTAAAACCTTAGAATTAATTTTATGTGACATGAGGTATGTAATTCATTCAAAGTATGTGATTTAATTGATAAGCATGAATTTTCAAACATGTATTATTGTTCGTTAGTTTCTCGTATGCCTAAAGAATTTAAACAATATTTTGATCAGTCAATTTTTAGTGCCATAAGGGGAGAAGAAAATAAATTATTCAAAGCTAATGTATGACATGTATTGGAGATAATTTCTTACGGAAAAAAAAAAGAAAAAAAAAAGGGAACTTTGGTTGTTCTTTTATTTAATTTGGTACTTACAAGGCTAATGCATGATTTTATTGCCAATGTTTTAGTAATTTTGTGCTATGGAAAGAATGGTATAAAAGGAAAGGAACCTGTTTGACTTAAGCAAGTATTTGGGCGATTTCACAAATTAGCTTCTAAATTAAAGGAATGTATTGCTCTTTCGCATTACATAAAGTATTTTTAAGCAATTGGCTACATAATGATAAGTCTTGGCATTCTTGTGGTGGAAGTGTGATACAACTTGTTTTATATGTGATTAATCTCTTTCAGTATGGTTCTTGAGATTAATTAAATACCTAAGGGAGTCATGAAGGAGATTATTAAAATAATGCCATTTGCTAGCAAGACTCGAAGCTTAAATCATGTTATCATAGTTATGTCACTTATAGCTAATTAACCTGTGTGATTTTTGTATTGTTTTGGGGCGAAGATGATCAATGCCTTTTCAACTAAGTAAGCCGCAACGGCTTAGTTGAGGATGGGACTGTGTTTTTGAGAACTTCGGTTAACATTGCATCTTAATTAGAATAAAAGGGATAATCTTCTTGCCTGCATGTGTGGATTATTCCTTTTAGTTTAATTAAGATGGCATAGTATGGGTTTTATTTCATATAAGTTATGAAAATCTTCATCTGCCCACAGGTGTTGAAGCTTTTCATGAAGGTACTCTTGTGACATATAATCAAGTACTAGAAACTAGTTAATTTTCTTGCCTATAGGTGTAAATTATCTAGTTTCATGAAGTTTATTGGGGAATAAAGTTCCATGTCTTCAGTTACAAATGTTTCCACTATGAGCCCCATTATAGGTTGTGGTTCTAAGGCTTGGAAATTGGTTGCATCATGATATATTTTTGTCTCTTCATTTGACTTGTTGATGCAAAGTATTGGATTTATGAAAGGTTAATCAAGGATTGCTAAGGTACGCATTGTTTAAGTGTAATGCTTGTAGATATTTTCAATTTGAACTTTGATGTTTGGTTAGAGGATGAAATTTGATTACTTGAGTTTCCTTTGGACGTCGAAATTGAAATAACATGAAATTTAATTTGGTAGACATGTTTAGATTCATGATAGATGAACATAATTTTTCTGGCGGATTGTGTCTTGATTAAGATCGGATGAATGACACGTCTAATGGTCACCAAATGACCTAAATTTTTTTATATGTTCAACATATATATTCTATATATACTAAGGGCACGTTTACGTACCCGTAATCGGAATCAATTTAAGGAATCGGATTTCGATTACGGGATACACCTTTGTTTACTTAATCTTGGGGAATCATAAAAACATGTGGGGTCCACACCAATTGGGGAATCCACTCCTGATTTTGGAGGAATTGGACTCCCTAAATGAGAGGGAGGTATTTCAATTCCTGGACTGGAGGGGAATTGGGAATGAACTTCTTTTACCAATTATGCCTTCACTTGGTTGTGATGATTCCAATATTGCCCTTCATTTTACTGTGATAATCTCCCTCACCAACGCTGCTGCTTCATCTACCTCACGACTAGACGCTGCTCCACCAAGCAGATCCCATACCCACTACACCTACTCTCTGTTTGCCCCTAAGAATCAAAGAATCTTGAAATTTTGAGCACTAACCACTTCTCCCTCTCCATCTTTCTTCTGTATCACCACTGCACAACCATAAACCTGAGAAAGAAATAGGCATGAGCAAATGAATTTCTTTGAATTTCTGGGTTATTTCTTGTGCGGGGTAGGAAGGACTTGACTCTCCAATTGCTTTGTGGGTTCTTTCTTCTGCGGGGTGGGAAGGTCTTGACGGCTTTGAAGGTATCTGGGTTCTCTTTTCTGCAGGTAGAAAGATGAATGTGGCTAGGTTTTTTATTTTTAATTAGATTATAATCTAATTTATACACAATAAATCAATAATGCATATTTTAACTCTTTACTTTAATTAAATAAATAAAAATATCTAATTAAAATGTTTATAAACATAAATATAGAATAAAATAAAATAAAATAAACAAGGGTAATTTAGTAATCATATTGATATTTATTCCGATTCGGCTAAACTAGTAAACAACTTATATAAACTCAATTTCATTCATATTCTGATTCCTGAACATTTAAATAAACAACTTTAACAAGAATCTGATTCTAACTCCTCTTCATTCAAATTTCTTCTCAACTCAATTCCTCCTATTTCGATTACGGTTACATAAACGAGTCATAAAACCCAAACTGATGTGGTACTGTTCTAGAGCAGTAAAATGGCGAAAATGCCCTTACAATGCTATCCTGTCTACCTTTTTGTTTAGGCTTCTCTACAGTAAAAAGGCATTTTTGCCCTTCCACTCCACCTGTCGACCATCGCAGCGTCTTCTGACATCTTTCCTTTCTTTTCACTATTTTTCCTTCTGTTGCTTTTCACTTCTTTTCCTCTAATTTGAGTTCGATTGTTTTGGCTTCTGTGGTTTTGGTTTCGTTTGCTCCCTCTCCCTTTTTCTCTGTTGTTCTCTCTCACAGAAGCCCTTCGTTCTCCATTTGCCGTTATCGTCCAACTCTGATTTAGCTACCTTTCGTCAACTCCATCTACTTCAATTTTCCTGCATAGCTTTCTGTCCGAAGCTCCAAATTCTTGGCCAAACAGAACAGCGAACTTCCCGATGGTCACCAGCTCCAGTTCAAGGTCGAGAAGCACTCAGTCAATGACGTCCCCGACGCCAAGATTTCATAAGGTCTCAATATCGAATTGGTTTGATTTTTGTGTACCTGATTTAAATTTTTTTGGTGATTTGCTTTTGGCTGTCTGATCTGGTTTGATTTTTGCTTTCAAGAAACGTTGGTCTTCGAATATTGGGGTTTTTTTCTGCAAGCTTGCAAGGCTGCAAGCCCTTTGTGATCAAGTATGTATTTTTTTCCTTGATTAAATGTTTTTGTTTTCAGTTTTGTAAGCATTCATCTTTTACTAATTGTCTAAGAGCTTCCATGGGATCTGCCCTATGTTGTTACTTTGCGATTACCTCCGTTGGGGTTGAAAAAACCACAAACGCAATGTGAGTCTGAAAACTAATCAAAAGGTTTTAGAATTTTAAATTTTTTTTTATCGTAAAGGTTTTTAAAATTTTGGATCATGTTTGCATTTTTATCCAATCTCATGCTCTAGCAATGCTTATAAAGATGACTGTTAGATTATCAAAGGACTCTGGAATGGTAGAAAACGCAAAAGGTCTGCAAGAATTGAGTTTTATTTGTTTTGTTATAGGAATTCAAATAATGATAAAAAATCTAACATTTTGTTCCAGAAGTTGCAATTTAATCCTACATTGACAAATTTCTCTGATGGCCACTGACTAAAGCTTGACATTCAGATTCGATGGCTAGATTGGCAACAAATTTATTGGGAAATGCATCTTCAAAGGTATGCCTCTAGAGCAAATTTAAAGGTAGGAATTTTTAATATTTTGTGAAATTAATGTTTTTTCAGAGTTTATAATAGATTGGTTGGACAAGTACATAGTGTTTGTTTGGTTGAATGTAGAAAGGAATTGGAAGAATTATGAAAGTACTGGCATTTTGTTGTAGGAGTTAGAACTTCAACATTGCTTGGAGGAAATTGTCATAAGTTCAGTGGCCAAAGCTTGATGTTGGCATGACAACAAATTTACTTGCAAATGCATATTCAAAAGTATGCTTTTTTGTTGTTTCTTGGTGAAAAATTGATTAGGGATGATTGCTATTGTTTATTCATGGTTGATTGAGCATTTTTGTTATAAGAAACCATAAAGAACAGTTGCCTTGATGCTAAGTTTTTTTTATATTTCTTGATGCATTTCTGTTGATCAGGCATAGATGGACCGGTCGATATGAAGCGCATCTGTGGGACAATAGTTGCAACAAAGAAGGGTAGAGCAGGAAGGGAAGGCAAGGTTTGTCAAGAAAACACAATGATGTTTTTAATTACAAGAAATATGCATTTTTTTCCAGTCAAATTCTGCTTTTGTTCTGACTATTTTCCATACTATATGCTGATTCTATTTTTTTAATTTTTTTGGTTTTTCTTTGATTAGCTGGGGAATCAAAATCAAATGATGAATCTTTAGTTTACTTGGGTAAGCATTTTTTCACATATAATTTGGCTTACCATTTTAACTGTCAAACCATGTTGTTTTAGTTCATGCTACTAATCATGCATTCAGTAGATTTATATATACAACAGTGTTTAAATGCTAATTGATTACTAACATAATGCGGTCTTTACAGGAAAAGCAGTGGATTCTCAAGAGGGGCTTCAATGTACAGAAGAATTACAAGGTCTTAATAGCTATTCATAATTTTATATAATAGTTTAGATAAAATATCAATGAGAAATAATATAAATACCAAATAAAAATCTCTAAAATCTCTTTGTTTTGTTTCTTCTCTGTGTAGCAGACGTCATCAATATGGAAGATGGCTAGCCAGGATTGTAAAGGTTACTGTAAATAAGGATCTCTTGGGACATTTAGTGGGTGATTTTTCAAACTTTATTTGCTTTTGTATCCAAAAAATTTCCTAATATTTTTAATATGATCAGTGAAACCACGATTTCATGTACTAGCTAGCTACTAGGATGCTTGGTTTTTGTATGATTCTGATTATTTGAGGTATCTGAATAAAGTTTTGTTCAAAGTAGGAAAATCAATTTAAACTCGAGCTTCTTTACAAGCTTGAGGAGAGATTTTAGTCTTATAATGATTAACAATAAGATGCAACTAAGGTAACACATGTACTGCACATATTGCTAACTATGCTAGACCAAAAGTATCATCATTATTGCTTAAACATACCAATCAGTTTACATTATGTGAACGCATATGAAGACTGAGGGGTTTAACCCTCAATTCCAATCTCATCCTGACTGAAACGTGTAATTTTGTGTTTACACCATACTAATCAATATTTTTTTTCATATGTTTAATCAAACTCTTATCTAATGTACATTTCGCAGAGACAAACGAGCAAAAACTTGATGACATCCTATAAAATTGCCAGAAAAAAGGTCATTTCCAACTCATGCAAAACCAAACTTCTTTCCCATTGAAAAACACTAGGTAAACACAATCTATCCTTATATTGTTCATAATATAATTCTATTGTGATACAATTTTGTTTCATGTATTTCAATCCTTTTCTTTTCCCTTTCCTAGGGTACCTCCTTTAAACTACTTTTCCCATTCTTCATATCGGTCAGAAGATCTCTTTTTGCCAGTTTTGAACAAAGGTCATTCCTCACTGTATAATTTTTTTACCAATGTCCAAATCTTAAACTATTGCATGCTCATGTTTGCCGATCTTTGTCACCAATTTCAAATAGTGATGTAGAAGATATGTGACATCCCACATCGTCCAGGGGACTGATCCTTATATGTATATTTCATCCCTACCTAGCACGAGGCCTTTTGGGAGCTCACTGGCTTCGGGTTCCGTAGGAACTCCGAAGTTAAGCGAGAAGAGGGCTAGAGCACTCCCAGGATGGGTGACCCTCTGGGAAGTTGCTCGTGAGTTCCCAAAAACAAAACCGTGAGGGAATGGTAAGCCCAAAGCGGACAATATCGTGCTACGGTAGTGGAAGCGGGCCCGGGAAGTGATCCGTCCCGTGTCGGGATGTGACAAGATATCTCAAAAGAAAATGCGCAGGACTTTGACCAAGTGCCTAACAAGGTATTGAAAAAAAGTCATCTCCAACTGCTGCAAAAACAGATTCGTGTTCTTCCAAAAATGATTAGGTAACTACTCTTTATACTTGCTTTTTGTACAAGTTGTAATTTATCTATACACAAATTCAACAAATCTATTCTCATTTTCCAATTTTTTAAGAAGCTGTCTATCAAACTGACTACAGTCGAAATTTAAGATTCTTAGTAGCACATGCTTTGTTTTGAAGCTGTCTATCAAACTAACTACTCTTTATAGTTGCCAAATGTTAATATCTCACTATCTTTACACAGTTTATTTAATCAATTTTTTAGTATAAATAGTGCTGTCCTTGATTAAATAATAATGTCAAACAAAATTAAGAGAAAAATATAACTGCCCAATAAGAATGACTTACCGAATTACATCACAATAACAAAAGGTAAAGAATAAATAAAATGGCAAGTAAATGGCATTATATAATTTATATCAACTAATTGAACACCTACTTCATATGGGAAGAAGAGGTCACAAAGGCAAAACAGGGAACAACAACTACTTCATATGGGAATAAGACGTTAGTTTAATTGTAATTATCTTTTTATTTGGTCAAATTCGAAGTTGGTTGGCTTGCATCTAATTTGGTCGTTTGCTTGCACAGGTTGAAGTCACTGGTTTTATTAATGCCGGTGATCGAAATCAATCCAAGTTAATGTGAAAACGATATCATTATTTTGTTATGATGAGAACTGATTTAAATTAAGAAATTGAATTACATTTTTTAACCTCTTTTGTGATCATTTACTGAGAATTTGTTAATTGTTTTAATATATATGAGGTAGGATTTCTACGTTCATTTCTCATCTTTAGAGATTGCTGAATTTCTACATTCATTTCTCATCTTTAAAGATTGTTGGATTTCATATTGTCAAATAGTTTATGGATTTTCATATTAAGCGCGTCAATATGTTATTGTAGTAATTCAATTAGATGTGATAAAGTTGATGTCTTTATACCTTTAAACAGAATTTTTTCACATAATTTCTAATCCCGCAGCAACGCACGGGCAAAACTTTCTAGTCCTATCTATACTAAAACCCGGTGGGAAAACCACTGTTCATTAACAATGTGCTGACTCCCGCCCCTCGATTTCTTCATGTTTTTGGGCCTTCTTAGGGATTCTCCACTGAATTGGCGGTTTTACCCTTTTCCTCATTTTTGTTGCCGCGTGCCTCTGGAGGTGGAAACACGTTTTTCATTTTCTTGGTTGGGGTTTGGTTTCCTGACGATGAGCATGTGTCGATCATCGCATCGACTGTGCCTTTTCCCATTTTCTCTCTTACTATTGTTGCTTTCTTTCACTTTCACTTCAGTTTGGAGCTTTGCCTTAAGGCGGGCTGTGTGTTTTGTTGCTTTTAAATTTGGTTAGTCAATTTTCTTTGTCATTTATTCTGTTTTTGTTATGCTTTTCGTTTTCGTTTGGACCTTTAGTTTTTCTTTTCGGTTTCTGGTGTTGCAGGAGTGTGGTTTCAGTGATGGGTTTTCGGGATGTTTGATTTTATTTTTTGTTAGTCTTTCAGCAGGCTGTGACTCTGTGTTTTTGGAGATTTGAATAATTCTGTTTTGTTTTTACTTTTTGTTAGTCTTTCAACAATTTTGTGGTCCGGATTTGAACGGCTCTGTGGTCGCGATTTCCTGTTGCGGCGATTGAGTTTTTTCTTAGGTATTAGTTTGTTTTGGTGGCCACAGTTTATCGAGTGATGTGGGTGTTGTATTTGGGTTTTTTGAGTTGTCTTTTGATTGTTTTGGGCGATTTGTTGCTTAATTATTTTGTTGTCAAGCGTTTCTACATCGTTCAGTTGCTCTGTAAACATTTAAGATTGATTTTATTCTTGAAAGCTTATAGCTTTTGTTGGCTAACATAAAACCAGGTTTTGATTGTTTTTGATTATTTGGATAGTGTTCTTTTTAAAACTGAAATGGCCATGTGATTTCTTCTTTCGATTATTTTCCCTTTTGATTATTTTAGGCGATCTGTTGCCTGATTATTTTGCCACTAAGCACTTCTGCGTGGTTGAGTTGCTCTCTGTAAAGATTTAAAATTAGTTTTTCTCTTCAAAGTTTACAGCTTTTGTTGCTTGATATAAAATTAGGTTTTGATTGTTTTGGAGCATTTTGATAATCTATGCCGGTGTTGTGTTTCTTTTGGACAATAATTTTTTGTGGCATTATTGAAAGTTTATCAGGTGATGTGTTTGTTTAAATTGGATGAGTGCGGTTTTGTGTGTATTAGTTATTAATTTCAAATGTCGGTATTATATGAAAGATTATGTAGTTTTAATCTTGATGAATGGTGTTTGAGAATGGAATTGGCCATAATAAATGGTGATGTGGTTCATGTATTGTTGGTGGTATTCAAGTGATCTCTTTTTTTTCCTTGATTTATCATTTTTGGTGTTTTAATTGAATTGACTATTCTTTTGCGTTTTTGTTTAACAATTTATTCAATTATTTCATTTCTTTTTTAGCTTATATTCTGTTTCGATTAGATGATGTTCAGGTTTCTTGAGCTTTCTGTCTAGACTATTTGTGAATTTACAGACCTCGGATTTCATTTGAGTAGTTTAAATGGTAGATCAAGGTCCAACTCCTATTAATCAATTGGTGACGTATGAAAGAATTGTGAAAATTATAGTCCGTATTTGCAGAATATGGTGGTCGAGATTTCTAGGCATGACTTATAAATATACAGGGCTTCACTGTATATTGGTTGATGAAAGGGTGAGAAAATCAATCTTTAATAATATAGACTGATAAGCGTTTAACAACACATGTTAACTATTTCTTATTTGTTCTAATACAAATGGCATAGCATTTCTCCTGTCCAGGATAAACAGGGTGTGCAATTGATTTTTAATCTTTGTATTCTTTGATTTTCTGTCGTAGAATAATATATCAGTTTCCATGTTAGCTCTATGCAATGTGTAAATTTTTTGATGCATATCCATTGTCTTTAAACTGTTAATTACGCTGATAAATTGACTCTCAGTATTTACTATCCATGTTACTCTATGATATTTGTCATATGTGTACTTTCATATTATTTCAAGTGTTAGGTATCGTATACTAACTCTATATAACATGTAAATTTTTTTATGCATATCCATCACCTTTAAAATGTTAATTACAACAATAAATTGGCTTTGACTATGCACTATCCATGTTAGTTTTTAATGTTTGTTCTTTGCATCTATTTTCATGTTATTTCAAGTGTCAAATTCAACATTATTTAATCATTCATAGTGTGTTTGACAATTTTATTTTTCTTGCCTTTCCCATGTTTGATTATCAAGCAATAAGCAATTGAGGCGTCTTCTGATGAGATGGACTATGAAATAATATTGCCAAAAATTGAAGCAAGTATTTGCTACGAAATTATGAATTTTCACACCAACAAAATGAAGGGTCAGTATCGAGTGGTGACACATAACACTCACGTTGTATTTACTGCTAAAACAATTTTTAACAAGTTGACAAGTGTCTTTCCGCCCATAGATTCTTTTTGCTAGACTATAATAGGTTGTATCCTCGGCTGGAGAAGCTTGATGTCCTTACAAGTGATAATATGTATATACATATGTGTGTGTGTGTGTGTGTGTCTTAGAATGCGTTAATGTTTGTTTTATGAAACATTTTGTCGTGACAGTTATCTTTTGTTCTTTTTCTTTCTTTTTTTTTTCCTTCAAATTTTGAAATGTTATTGGTCAGGTGGTTGGAGTCCAGCGTTTGGAGCCCATACAAGTCAATCAGAGAATTGATCACAAATGTGATATGGTAATTCAAAATATCAAGTTATTTCCTCTGCATAATAAACTTTTTAATTGTTTTCCGTATCAATTGTGTTTATGTCATAGATATCCAAACTGCTGTTTTGTAACATTGGACAATCATATACTTTTCTTAAAAATAATTTAGGGTAAATTACGTTTTGCCCCTTTAGGATTGGGATCAATTTCAATTTCTTACATTTTTAAAACATTTCACTTTCAAATCTCACATGCTATTCCATTTCAATTTCATACAAGTATTAAAAAATCTGTTAAGTGATGACGTTGCAAATATGGGGTCCTTATTTGTGTTGACGTGACTAAACACTCAATAAAAAATTTAAAATAATTAATTAAAGAAAAGTATTAAAATACTTCCATCCCCTCCACCCCTTTCGTCTTCTCCCATCCCCCAACACCCACCCCTTGCCCACCTGAGCCACCCTTTCTTCGATCCACTTTTGTTCATCTTCCTTACCCACCTTCTCCCTCTCCTCCACTCTTTTCACCTCCCCTCCCTTCTCTCTCCCCAGATCAACCTACACCCAACCCTAATTCCCAAAATTTTATTAGCCCCAATTTTATCCCTAATTTTGGGCGAGAAGAAAGGAGGAGGGAGGAGTTTTGCTTTCCCACTTTCTGCGATTTTAGCACCAGGGGAGGAGGGGGTGGAGGAGATGGCGGTGGGAGCAGTGGGAATGGTTGGGTTGATTGCGATGGGAGCAGAGAGGGTGGAGTGGGAGATGAGTTTCTGGGTTTGTTCGAACTTTTTTTTTCCTTCTTTTGTTTTTTTAAATAGTTTCAATATTATAATATTTTTTAATGTATAAAAAAATTATTTTTTTTGGCCACGTGGCAACAAATTTGGCAGAAAAGAAGAAGCTAAGATTACATTGTGGTAAGATGTTGCATGTGACAACCCGTTCCTAATTTTACATTTTTATTAATTTTAAAAGAGTGATTTGATGAAAATGCCCTAGAGGTGAGGGTATTGATTCTCGTTGACCAATGTATAATGAGGCATACAAAATATTTTTTTAGTGTATTCTTGAAGTACTCAATGATACGAACACGTAGGTGCAAGCAGAATCGAAATCAGAGCTACGGTTAAAATTTTACAGAGCTACGAATCTGGAAGTATTTTGAAGGAATCACTATTTGAATTATATTCTCCTATTTTATATTACTAATTTGTTATGCCACATGGGTGTGGCTGAGATGGGAAAAGAAAGGTGAGGAAGGAAAGATCCAGTGACCAATCGAGGGGGAGATCAGGGAGGGAAAGGAGAAATGTGAGTGGCACCTAACCTAGACCTTCATCCCTTGAACCTGTATACCCAAGACCTGACCGGCGGTGCCACTGGTTTCGAAGCAGTTTCTGCTGGATCTTCGGAAAATTAAGATTCCTCATCACTTGGAATCATCCTAAGATCCTTCCCTTTACCCTTTTTATACAAAAACCCGAGCCAATTTGGGGAATTCGAATCTAGAGTTCAAAGAGTGCACGACGGCGATCCGTCCAATCTCGAAAGGTTTTTTGTCAACCATCACCATCCTCAGGTGTTCCTTGAGCCTAGGAACAAACCCCAAACAACCTTGGAGATGGCGAAGCATCGAAGAAGTTGAATCGAAGGCCACCATTTTTAGGGTTTATGGCATATTCAAGACGAATTGGAGCTTTTCCGAGCCAAATTGGCCTTAGTCACAAGTATGAAACTTGCTCTACTCGTTGAGATCTTCACTCCTGTAAAATTTGAGAGTTTTTGGAATTAGTTGAATTTTTCGACGAGTCAGGGTGGTTATCCGTCGCGTGCTGCGACGCGTGGGCCAAGACCCCACCTACCCTTCCTAGACTAATTTGGTTATTCTGATTTCATGTGTAACGTTCGAATGACGAAATCTCTTTGTAAAACTATAGTTTTGATAGAGACCGCCACTTGGATATTAAATGAATCAACGATCCAACCGTTGGATCGTCATCAAACTTTAATATGTTATAGTACGTATCATTTGAGGATACTAGAACTTACAGATCGGGAATCCGATGTATGGATCTTCCCGAATTGGATTTGTAAGCTTGTAAAATAAAAACGTTGTCCGCCACTTGAATTTGCAATTGGCGAAAATCCAACCGTTGAATCGTAACGAAACTTTAAGATGTTCTAGAAGCTTATTGAAACTCTTGGGAAGTTATGGGCCGGAAATCTAAAGTGTGGATCTTTCGGATCGAGTTACGTAGGGTTTTGGACCCTACCGTCGACCTTCGACCGACGATTGACTTTTGGTCAATGGGTTTCAAACCATTATAAAACGTCCTTGGGGATGTGTTTTGTGTAAGTTATGTGTTCTATTGAGAAGATTTCTGAGACATGATTTGATAATTGTTCTAGGCATTGATCGTTCGTGGCGCCTCGATATTTTTGCTAGGGAGTTGTAGCACGGACTTTAGGTGAGTGGGGATCTTTTCCTTTTTATAGTATATATATATATATATATATATATATATATATATATATATATATGATTGATAGTTTCCAATTATACATTTGAAAAAGAATCTCTTACGTAAGCCTGGATTAGACTAAAGTTTATAAAAATTAGTGAAATGACGAAATTTATGACATATGCTACATGCTACATCCTACGTGACACGCCCCGACCCCGATATTCCCCGAATACCAGGATAGGCACGTGCTGGTCGACACCCGAGGGTGACGAAAGCTATTTATTGAGTGCAAATGCTGAAAACAAAGGATAAATAAGGCTTATAATATAAAAGAATAATGAATATGCAAATAAGGACCGTGTTTAGAGCACACAACTAATCTAGAACACTAAAAGAAAATAATATAAAATTGAATGAACCAAGGAGTGGGTCCTACACCGAGAGGACTCGAAGATGCCGATGCGGAAATGCCTGAACGTCGGGATTGTATGCCTCGATTCTAAATCCTGAAGGGGGCGCAAAACAAACATGAGTGGACCAAGTTGATATATAAATATAATAAAACAGTTATCAACATACTAACCCCCAGGTTTTATGAAAACACTTATATATAATGATAAACATAGGTTTTCCGAAACCTAGCATGTCGTGCAATGTGTCAAATCATAATTCGCATAAATAATAAACACTAGTGAATGTCCGATACAACTCTCCAGGCCCCATGCCGGCTCCCCGTCTCTGAGCAGACAGTCAGAGGAAAACACACTTCAGGCCCTATGCCAACACCAAACCGTCGCTCGGGACGGACCGGATCTATCCTTACGTCCCGTAGCGGAAAGGACCACTAGGTAAGTACAAAACCAGTGAACATACATATATTGAAAATCAACTTCATAGTATAAAGTCATCCATCATCTATACTATAAAGAGGTGTTCTAAACATGTTCTAAATATCATATCGTCATCCATCAGATATTCTACAAGAACATGGGTTATAGGAAAAATAGTAATAATTCAAACTAGCCTTAGTAAGCATGTTATCTCGTAAAACGTTTCATAAAACATAATCATCAAATCATGCTTTTCATGTATGCATTTCTACTATCAAAACATGCATTTTTAGAAGGGGTCCACTCACAGTACTTCATCGTCGAAAAGCCACGCCATCTAGTGAAGAAGGAAACGCCACAGCTAAACGCCCCTAAGCACATAAACGGTACATTAAGTCAAACTCTACTCAAATGTTTGAATTTGAGAAAACGGATATCGAAAACGGGTTCAGGACGTCGAAATTAGCCTAGGAGGGGTCCCGCACGAAAACCGAAAACACGGTTCAGGGTCACGGGTTTGGGCTTTAGGGTTTGGGTTAGGGTAAATGGGTTTAGGTTTTTGGTGAATTGGGTTTGGGTATTGGGTTTGGACTTGGGTTGGATCCGGGTTGGGCCTAAAGGGTTTGGGTTAGGATAATTGGGTTTAGGTTTTAGGTGGGTTGGGTTTGGGCTTTAACCTCACGACCCAATGGCCCAATTAAAAAGGGTTTTGGGCTTGGTTCACACGGCCCTAAGGCCTTTGGGGTTTTAAAGTAAACAAAAATAAAAATAAAAACAGAAAGGGTTAGGGTTTTGGGCCAAATACCAAAACAGGCCTAAGGCCTGTGGGGAAAGGAAACGGCCTGAAGGCCTGGGTGTTTTCTTGGGCTGGGTTTCACGCCGGAGAACAAGGCCGGAATTCGGCCGGAATTCAGACAAACTTTGAACGTCCATAACTTTGTTAATACTCGACGAAATCAAGTGATTCAAAAATGAAAATCGTAGCTCTCAAAGAGACGAAGAGAATGGTACCTCACACGACGTCTAACTCGCCGTGGTTTGGCTGGAAAACACCTCAAAAGTCACTGAGGTCGCCAGAAACTGGGTTAGATTCAAATGAGTATAACTTATTCAATACTCAATGAAATTAGGTGAAACAAAAAGGAAAGTTGTAGTACTCAGCGAGACGAAGATATTGATACCTCGCACGCCGGCCAACTCGCCGTGGTTTGGCCGGAAATCGCCTCGAAAGGGACGGTGTTCGCCGGAAAATTGGGAAAGAGTCTTCGAGGTGGTTTCTTCATGGTTTGACGTCCAAAACACAACCACGGGGTTTCAAAAGAGTTATAGGTGTGCGCATGGGTGTGTGTGTGTGTGTTTCACGGGGAAGAAGAAGAGAGAAATGGGGGAGTTTCGAAGGAAGGGAGAAGGTGCAGACAAAACAAAACAAAAGAAAGGAAAAGAAGAAAAAAGAAAAAGAAAGAAGAGAGGAGGGACACGGCAGGGGGGACAAAACAGGGGGTGGGCCCCTTGGGCTCACCAAATAAGGTTCAAAAACAATTTTAAAAAGGAAGGTATCCCCTTAGTGAAAATACAAAAATACCTATTTTCTTACGTAAATCCCGGGACGGGTTCTTACACTACGGATGCACATGCATGCTTATAATCTTTTATGCCATAATTATATCTACAGCTGTGAATGTTATTATGTTGATTACAATTATTGCATCATTATGGCATGCT